GTGGCTATATAATATAATGATGGCAAAAAAAAAAAAAGGTGGCTATATATACATCATATTCAGAAATTTTGATATTATTTTTCATCGCAAATCTGCAAATCTGTAAATCAGTAAATCTGTAAAGTGAAGATGATTATACCCAAGAAACTTACCGATCAGATGCAAGTCAGGGCAAAGAAACAACTTAACGGATCGAGAAATCTGAGACAGATCTGTAGTTGGAGATACAGTTTAACTCGAACTGGCGTTCCAGTCTTCCTCAGGATCTAAAGAGTTTATACGGAGGGCCAAATGTTTGGGGAGAATTTCGAGAGGGAAGTAGAAAATGAAATTGGAATGAAATAAAATGTCAAACGAAATTGCTGGTATCGCCGCGTGTGTGAAATTTTGCTAAAATTTAAGTCCTTCTACTTTTTTACAAAACAAAATAAGTCCTATTAATTTCCTTAGTATTCAATATGGTCCCTATGGAGGAAGAAATAAATATACTAGCATCTTTTATCCTAAACACAGCACTAACCTGGTTGCATCTTCTTCTTCTTCTTCTTTTTTTAACCACACAAGTGGCTGCATTTTTCCACGATTTTTCATCGCAATGTTTAGGAAAATTCTCCTTTCATATTCAATGTTCGGGAAAATTCATTGTTTTATAAAAATTCAATGTTTTATTGCAAAAATTCTTTTTCATATTCAATGTTTAAGAAAATTCAATTTTTTATCACGATTTTTCATGTTCAATGTTCAAGAAAATTCTTCATATTTGAAATTTTCTAACATGAATTGAACAATGAAACATATTTGTGCAAAAAAGTTTTATTTATGGGTTTGAGTTCCCTAACATCTGAGTTCGATGAACCCAGATTTATGGGTTCCATGAAACCCCAACAAGGCAGCATACACATTCACACGCAGTTATACACACTTGATTCCCAAACAGTTATACATTCATACGCAGCATACACATTTCAAAATACACAATAAAGAGAGAAAGAAAAACCTAAATTCATATACTAGAAATCTAGCTTTTACAGATCCCATATTCTACATTCCATTAAACACCAACATCTTGGTTTCGTGGAACCCAGATTTTTAAAATTAAGTATATGTATAATTTTATATACTTAATTTTCATACTCTTAAAAGATCGTCAAAATCTTACAAAATTTGGAGGTAAATAAAAGTGAATAATTTTTAAATTAAAATAAAAATACCAACCTATTAAAGTACAATG